ATGGGAATACTTAAAGAAAGGAGCGTTGGCATAAAGACACCAAGGATAGTTGCCGTTCTCTCCCAAAAAGGTGGTGGGGGAAAATCAACCTTGGCTCGCTGTTTAGCAGTGGAATTAACTAAACAAAAACTAAATATTTTACTAGTCGACTTAGACATTCAACAAAAAACCAGCCAAGAATGAGTGGAAAGGAGAAAAAGCCAAGGCATAAAACCTCTTATTAATTGCCAATCTTACCCTTTTTTTGATAAAGAATTGTTAAAGACTAATTACGATTATCTAATAATAGATGCCCCAGCTCGGATTAGTGAAGGAACTTTAAATATTGCTAAGGTGGCTAACTTAATAATTCAACCTGTCCGTCCTAGTTTGGATGACTTAAATCCAGCAATAAGAGAGTTTAACAGTTTGCTTAAAGTTAGAATAGATAAAAATAAATTAGCCTTTGTTATAAATGCGGTTAGTTCAGAAGCGGAGGAAAAAGCTACGCGGAACTATTTAGAAAAAGCGAGTTATTTTGTTTTTACTACTTCTTTACTAGAAAAGGTAAGTTATCGGGAAGCTCAAAATCAAGGATTAAGTATTAGCGAAGTTAAATATTTAAGGTTAAGTAAACAAGCCAAAGAACTAATAAAATCAATAATAAAGAAAATAGGAACTATATAAACTAGGAACTATTTATTAAAATTAATATATGAACCAAGAGAAATTAAACCCTTATCATCTAAGAGGCTTTGGTTGTGATAGGTGTGGTAATGAATATCATAATGAAACAGCTTATTCACCAGCTCCTAATTTAAATGAAATAAATAATTACTATACTTATTGCTCCAATTGTGTAATAATTGAGGAGGAACCAAAAAAACCATCAACCAAAACCAAAAAAACCAAAGATTTTGGTTTGCCACCCCAAGAAGCCAGCGAAAATTTAAGGTCTTTGGAAATAGATAAAAGAACTTTACGGAAAACGGGACGAATTAAACAATTTAATACTAGTGTCAGCGAGGAATGAATGGAAAAATTAAAGGTTATTTCTTATGAGGAAAGATTGAAATATGTGGAAGTGCTGGAAAGAGCTCTAGAGTGTTATAACAGACACCGAAAATAATTTTAAAAATTAGGGGAAAGTTATTTATTACGCAATAGGCGGTGGTAAATCTCTAAAATACCTTATATAAATGCTATGGAATATTTTTTATATAGAATAAAAGGAGGAATAAAAAATCTAAGTCAAAATAAAACAAAACAGATAAGAAAAAGAGATAAAATTAGGGTTGGGAAAGAGTTAGAAAGAGGATTTAGTTTGGAGGAATTTTTTTTGCTTCTTTTTTTAAGTAGTTATTAGTAAACAGTATGAAAGACCTATTAAAAGAAAACAATCAGCAAAAGCATCAGTTTAAGAGCTATTATTGTGCTAAATGTCGCCAATCTAAACCCTGTCAATTATTAACTGGTTGGAGTAGTGAGTTAAAGAACTATTGTTGTCAGTGTTATTATGAGGGTGAAAGAGACAGAGAGGTAGAATATAGTTCATTAGAAAAGGTTTTAGTTAGTAAGCAAAAGGAACGAGTAAGGAAAATTAGGCAACTCCAAATTTTAAGGGGTTATTTAGGTTGTTCGGAGTGTGGAAGTAAAGAGGTAGATGCTTATAACTTGTATGTTGAGAATAAATTAGTTTGTCAACCTTGTTTAGTTAGGGAAACAGGTGGGAGCAGTAGTCCCATTAGTTTTTTGGGGCAGAGGAAGTGGTTTCAGAAAAGGTGGAGAATTAACTTGGATGAATGGCTAACTAATCATCAGAGTTTACCGGTGAATGCTGAATGTGCGAGGGAATGGTTAAAAGATAAGGAACATTTAAGTAATTGTGCTTGTTTAGAGCAAGAAGCCAAAGAAGTCTATTTATTGGTTAATGATAATCTAAAAAGGTGTCAAGAGCAGTTAAAAGAGTGTCAGTGTGAAGTTAGTCCCAAAGTGAGGGTGGACAGTGATGATTATGCTTGGTGCGAGAAGTGTAAAGTTAGTATTTCCGCAGCCAGCAAGAAAAGAGTGATTAAAAATAGGAATGACCCGAGATTTTGAGGGTTGGAGGTTAAGGAGAAAGTTTTATGTGGGAATTGTTTAAAAAAGTTAGTTGAGGAGATGCCAAAAAGGAAGAAATATCTGTTTTGGGAGTATAGGAATAGGAAGTATTGATAAAAATAATTGAAAAATAAATTATGACAACAAACATTTATGCTAAGCTCTCCCATATTCAAAATGAAATAGAAGTACCTAGTGATTATAACTATTCAGAAACCTTAAAACTTCTAACTCCCCTATTAGAAAAACATAAATTAACCCTTACATTAAGCAATGACCCCAAATCGTTTATCCATGAAAAGGTTGATGGAGAACATATTATTAGATACTTAAAAAAAATTGAGATAGCAGATAAAGAAAACTCCAATAATCAACTCTTCTTTAACTTTTGAGCAGTAGGTGGCAGTGTTGATTCAGACAAGGCAAAAACCAATGCTGAAAATTGTGCCATGGAATCTATGCTTTGCGGTTTATTTTTAGTTTGCCCAAACTAAACAAACCTTTACCGGAAAATAGTAAATCACAACAGTAATGAGAGAATTAAACTAATAATTTTTTCTAATTCTTCACCAGTTCTAGAATAAAGAAATGGGTTTTGGGAACTTACTATTACTCTATTAATTGTTTTTTTGTTTAAATTATTGACATATGAATATAAACACGGAAATAAACGAAACCAAGATAAAAAAACAAGAAGAAATGATTGATATTCTTGTAGGAGAAGTTAAAAGATTAAAAACTGAGTTAATTAAGTATGAATTGATTAAGGAACTGATAAATAACGAAAGCGGGAATTTTCTTGTTGAAAGAAAAAGGAGAGAAATTTTAAAAAGGCAAGGTATTGATTTGGGTTATTCTTGTGATGGTTCTTGCGAAACAGAAACTAACCAAGAAGCAAAAGGAGAAGAGATTGAAGTTAAAAAAGTTAATCAATGTTGAGTTTGTAATATAAAAACTCATAAACTCTTTGAAAGAAACAAAGGGAAAAGGAGTAGCTATTTTTGTTGTGTTGACTGTTATAAAGACATCGAAGAAGATATTAAACGAATTCAAGTTAGAGAACAAAACTCTACTAAGGCAGATATTAAAAACCAAAAACGGAAGAGGAAAGGAATTAGCAAACAAGAAGCGATGAAGCACTCTAAACCAAGTAAGAAAAAAAACAAAGTCATTTGTAAGGATTGCGGAGGTGAATATTTAACTGTAAATTTCCATTCTCATTACGCAAAACATACAAAATAACAAAGATATTATCAGAGTTTAGGATAGTCGTTTTCATTTTTAAAAAACTCTTTATATGGATATTTCACTAATTTTATCAATAATTGCTGTTTTTTTACTAATTGCTTGTTTTCTTTATCTAATCTTTATTTTTCCTAAAAGACAGCAAAAACTACTCAAACTCCATCTTGATTCTCTCGGTAATCAAAATCAACAAAAAGAAGCTAGCGAATTAGAAGAAAAAAATGAAGAAATAAAAAAATCAGCACTTGAGTTAAAAGAAAAAATGGAAGAAATTTCCCAAAAATTAATAACTAATGAAGCGGTGGCCAAAACTTTATTGGAAAATGTTGATAAAAGTATTAAGGGAGAGATTGTAAATCAACAAAAATTATTCCAAGATAAGAATAAAGAATTGAGCGAAAAACTAAACAAAGATTTAGAACTTCGTCTTAATAATAATCAGCAGTTAATAAAAACACATTTAGAAAATTTAAACAAGGGAATATCACAACCTTTAGAAAAACTTAATAGCGTTCTTTTACATTCTGGTAAGCGAGGAATTTGAGGAAATACCCAATTGGATGAATTATTGTCTTCATACCTACCAAAAGAAAATGGACTTTACCAAACTGAATTTCAGTTGAAAAAAAGAAGAACCAAAAATAAAGAAGAGGGCTTAAGGGTGGATGCTATTGTTTTTAGTGCGGACAACCGAAATAATATTGCGATTGATAGTAAATTTCCTCTTGAAAATTATCTTTCTTCAGCAGATGGTAGTTTAACCGAAGAAAAAAAAGAACAGTTTGAAAAGCGGTTTGAAAACGATGTAAAAAAACATATTGATAAGGTTGCTGAATATTTTTCCCCCGAAGAAGATGGTATTAAGTATGTCATTATGTTTGTTCCTTCCGAAGTTATTTTTAGTAAAATTAATGAACAAAGATATTACAATATCGTTAAGTTAGCTTTAGAAAAAAAAGTTTCTATTTGTTCTCCATCAATTTTTCTAGTTATAATTGACCAATTACGATTATGAAATAAAATTTGAGAACAGTATAAAGATTTAGACAAAATAACTTCAGAAATTAGTAAATTTTGAGGTAATCTTAAACTTTTTAAAGAAAGGTGAGAAAAAATTGTTAAGACGATTGAATCTAATAACGAAGCTATAAGAAAATTTAATATTAGTGCTAGAAAATTAATTGAAGATGGAGAAAAGATTAAAAATAGAGATAACGCTTTATTAAAAACCTCTCCTAAAGATTTATTAAAAGAAAAAGAGGAATAACATGAAATTTAAATACGATTGCTTAAATAACCGTTTTTGAGAATTAAGAGATGAATATGCTTATGAAATTTCCGAAGAATTAGCCTTTACTGGTTCTTATGGAGAGCGGGGTTTTGTTCTAAATTCTAATCAACCTAACCAATGAATTAACTTTACTTTTTATGATAGGATGATTAGAGTTTTTTATAGGCAAGTTAGCAAAGTTGATGGTAATGAAGTAATTACTTGTTATCAAAAAGACATTCCCAAAGAAGTAATGATTGAGTTTGAACTGACTGAAAAAGATATTGTTATGAAAAGGGATGATAGATGAATTAAAAAACCAAAAAACCAAAAAACTAGTTAAAATATGAATGACAAATCGCAAAAAATAAAAGAAGCAGTAGCCAAGATAGATATTGGTAAGATTGTTAATTATTCAAAAGAACATTTTAAATCTAAAACTTTAAGACAAATTATTAGATACAACAAAAGAGTTCAAGACAGCAACGACAAACAAGAAATATTCAAATTAGCAACTAGATTAGCTTATAATTTTGATATGATTGTTAACAAAACCGGTTATGTTAAGGACAAAGAGGAAAAAAAGATTTGATTAGAAATTTCAGAAGAGTTATTCAAACATACAACCGGAATTAAAAAATAAAATATATATATAGATTGTTAATTGAACCCTGCTTGGGTTTAGTTAGTTTCTTGTTCTTGCAAGGTTCTCGGAACTGACTAAAAGGGCTAGGGTTGAATTAATAATCACATGACGAACCTTGCAGAAGTTAGTCAAGCATCAGTTAACCAAACCGCATGCTTACAAATAAAAAAAACATCAAAACACGGTAAGCATAAGGAGGGTTATTTTGCTTTTTATTACCAAAAAAATAAACAAAAATATCTCCTCTCTCAACAAAAACACCGAACTAAACTAAAAACAAAAAAACCTCTCAAGTTTCGTTCTCTTTTCTCACTAAACCGAGAAAAAAACCTCATTTCTTGCTTAAACAAACACCACATTACAGTTCCCGTTCCTCGTTTTTTAAAAGTTAAACATCCCATTATCCAAGGTTGGAATAAACCTAACTGATGGTGAAAAGAAACTATCTTTGAATTATTAAACAAAGGTTGGAATTACTTCACTTTACTCAATAAAGATAATTCTTATCAAGGAGTTAGAATTGGTTGTATTGACATTGATGAAAAAGGTTGAACTAAACTACCCACTAAATACTGATGCTGTTATATTAGTGCTGGGAATGGCAAGATTAAATTACTTTTTCTTTATAAAGATAACCAAGGCTTAAAAACTAGTGCTGGTTATTTTCAAGACCAAAAGATATTAGACTTTAAGATATCAGGAGGAATTATGGGTCTAGGGAGTATTCATCCGAATGGCAAACCTTATTCTTTAAAAGGAGTAGGGAGTTTCTTTTTACAGAATAATAAGGTATTTGATTCTCCGCAAGAAGTTATTGAGTTATTAAAGCAAGATTGAGGAATTAAAGTATTGAGTATTAAAGAACACTTTATTAAAGTTAAAGAGCAAAAAATTGCTCACCAAGGAGAAGCAACTGAAAATTTATTCATTCCCAAGACAGAACCACCGATGAATTATAAAGGGTTAGAAAGAAATAATTTTTCCAAAATAGGTAATTACTAGGGGGGATATTTTTGTCTAGTAAACACTTATTTTGGGGGAAGTTATGACACTTACCCCAAAACTCAACCAATTAAAGACAACGAGAAATCGGATGCCGTTCCTTTTATAAAAAGGCTACGGAGAGCATGGTAGACAATTTAAAGTTTACCATGGGGCTAATGAAAAACAGCCCTAGGGGTTGCTAGGAATACCTTTAATCCTAGCTATGGAAGACTTCCATATACCACCTACATATTAATTTTAACAATTAAGAGTAGATTATATGGAAGATGATAGAACTCGGAAATACTTCTTACTGAAATTGATTATAACACCATTTTGGTCTTTTTAATAATTAGCAAACTATTCTTTTTTGTTATAACAACTAAATTTTAAATAACTTGCTAAACAAAAATTTCTCCCTCTTTATTTATATACAAACTAACCACTTTCTTGTAGGTCTTGAAATTGTTCTCTCTTTCCTCAAACTCTATCTCTACTTCTTTTAAGTTTTCCCAGTTATTTATTAAATCAGTTCATCCATCTTTTACCGCTTTTTCAAAACAGAAAAAAACTTCATCTTGATTGTCATTATTCACAATTAGGTAATAGGTATTAAAGTTTCTATCTTCCAATTTTTTAATAGTGATATTTTTTAAGTTTATGCTCGGCATATATTTTTATTTTCTACTAATCCTCACCCTTTCTATTCTAAAAAATAGGAAATAGGAACTATATAAACTAGGAACTATTTATTAATTAAATTTACTAAAAATATAACATATGAATAAAAAGGAATTCAAATTTACCTTTATTGACTTATTTGCTGGTATTGGCGGTTTTCGGCTAGCCTTGGAAAAAATTAATGGTAAATGTTTATTTTCCTCGGAAATTGATAAAGATTGTGCGGAAACTTACCAAGCGAACTTCGGGGAAGTTCCCCAAGGAGACATTACTAAAATTGACCCGCAATTAATTCCTAACCATGATATTCTTTGTGCGGGTTTTCCTTGCCAACCTTTTAGTATTTCAGGGAAAAAAAAAGGATTTGGTGATACTCGCGGAACTCTTATTTTTACTATATTAAAGATAATTAAAGCCAAAAATCCTAAGGTTATTTTCTTAGAAAATGTTAAGCATTTAAAAGACCACGATAATAAAAAGACCCTTCAAACTATCATTAAAAGTCTTGAAATGCTTGGTTATAAAGTCGAATGACATATTTTAAATGCCAAAGATTTTGGTTTAGCTCAAAATAGAGAGCGATTAATTATTGTTGCCAGTAGAAATAAAAATTTTGATTTTTCTAAACTAGTTAAAATAAAGCCGAAAACTATCAAGGATATTTTGGAAAAAGAAGCCGTTTTTGAGATTTTAAAACCAGCTGAATACACCATATTACCAAAAGATAAATGGAGAAAACAACCCTCGGGTTTAATTTTTTGTGGTTATCGAAATAAATTAATCCGAATTAATGGTGTCCGTCTCAATACCGAACATTTATCGCGGGTTCACAAACAGCCCAACCGAATATATTTTGTGGGGGGAACCCATCCCACCATTCCATCTCAGGAAAGTTCAGGGAGGTTTTGGATTTATGACGGAGAAAAAGTGCGAAAATTAACCTTAAATGAGTGTTTTGCTTTACAAGGTTTTCCTAACAATTACCAAAAAGTAAGTAGTGTTGGAACTTGCTATAATCAAATCGGGAATGCGGTAGCAGTGCCAGTGATAAAGAAAGTGGGAGAGCAAATATTAACCCAATTATTATGAGTATAAACCATAAAGAAAAATTATTAGAGATTTATCGAAAATCGTTTAATGTAGCGGATATTAGCAATATTTCCGAGGAAATGATAAACTTTTTGAAAGTTATCACGGACAACATTGATAGAAACAAAGGAGTTTATACTGTATTAATAACTTTGATGGTTCATAAACTATTGGAGCCAATGCAAGACATACGACTTCATAAGGTTGAATTTGAGAATGGTTTTTCTGGTAGAACTATTGATACTAAATATATCACACCTACTTTAAAGGAATTGGGATTACTTTCGATGGCGGAAAGTGGTTGATTGACGAGAAGTTTGGAACAAGCTTATCCTTATGATTTGAATTATAAAGGAAAAATTTCAGGAGAAGGCATGAAAGAAGCCTTTTTAAAGGTGATAGATGCTTTTCAGAGCGACCAGACTATTACTGAAAACATGTTAAGGATAATTCTCAATAAGGCTATTTTGTTTAAGAAAAATAATTTGGTTGAAATCAGAAAGTTAGATAATGCCGAGGAAATAACAATTACGGCTATTGTTGAGTTATTAAAAAAACATTTTACCGAAAAATACGATACTTGGGGTGGTTCCAAGTTGCCCGTGTTAGCTTTTTATGCTATTTATAAGTCATTGATTTTAGAAGTGGATAGGTTTAAAGATTGTCAACTTGAACCTTTGGGAAGTCATACCGCTTCGGACAGAACTTCCAAAAGTGCTGGTGATATCCAAGTAATAAAAAATAGCAAGGTGTTTGAAGTGGTGGAAATTAAGTTAGATAAACCAATTGATATAAATATGGTTAGAATTGCCTATGAAAAGATTGTTAGGTTTAATTCCGAAAGGTATTATATACTTTCTGACATGGGGGTTTTGGAAAAGAACCAGTTAGAGGTTAATGAGTTGGTTTTGAAAATTAAAGAAAAGCATGGTTGTCAATTAATTATTAATGGCATTTTGCCTACTTTGAAATATTATCTCCGTTTGATTTCTAATTCCAAAAGATTTTTTAACGAATATATTGAGTTAGTGGAGGATGATACCGAATTGAAAACTATTCACAAAACCAAACTAAAATCGTTGGTAAAAGAATTAGAGGCAAAATAAATATGGGAATACTTAAAGAAAGGAGCGTTGGCATAAAGACACCAAGGATAGTTGCCGTTCTCTCCCAAAAAGGTGGTGG